AAAAGCTTACGAACTCTTTATTATTCAGATTCAAACATACTGTTCATGTCGTCCCTTGGAGCCATGAGTATCGGATGGTCATTCGTTATATTGTTGCTCTCTCCCCATTTTAGTTTTATTCCTGTTGGAGGTTTGGTTGTAATACTAATAATAGATTTCTGGGCTGTCTTCATTATCATATTGTGTAGGGGAGCATTTGCATAACACTGTATACATACCATTTTTGTCTAGTCGGTTAATCTGTTTTGTCTCGGTAGTTGTGCAAATATGTCTTTCGTTTCGGCATTTTGCCATCTTCACTGTGTCTGTGAGGTTACACATCTGCTTAAAATTGAATCATCCATACTGGCGGTATAGTCGGATGTCCATACCCATAAAAAGCACATATATAACTGTGTAAAGTGGGGAGTTTTTTCTATTCCACTTATATCTCGTAAAAACAACACGGCGATCTGTCCGTTTCTGTCTTGCAGCCGAATAGAGCGCAAAAAAAACAATCAATCGTCCCTTGTTGAGAGCGAAGTGAAAAATCTTTCCCAAGGCGAGAAGAACGTGAAAAAGTTCGTTTGTAGGTGAAGTACAAGGGATAGGCGGCTCGGCGGGATCGCGCTGAATAATGGCCGGGTATGTTTTTGAGGGAGCGTCTTCCCCGACCAGCCAGGCACTTTGGCTCCTTATCGCCAAGTTTCTGGGTGAGCGAGCCCGGAACCCCCCTTCCTTATCTCGCCCTTGCCCCAACCCCCAACACCAAACCCCGTCCCCCCTCGAGAGGTGGTGTCTCCTAATGGAACCCTCTCCTCTCTGATAACACCCACCCCTTTACCAACTAGAAATAACACAAATATTAATATTTTAGAGAGAAACACGATGTGGACCCACTTCAATGAATCACACTCACCCCGGCTCTCTTCCACTCCCCCGTCCTCAACCAGTCAATTTTAATCAACAATTTAACAATACAACTGTCAATAATTCACTCAATACCGCACCTGAAGATTTGATTTCAATTTATTTCAAAAAGCTAATGACTAGTAACCCAAATTCTTTCTGTCTAGAAAAGTGCACGGTCTCTGAAACATACTGGCACCCCCTTTTTTTTTTCTCAAAAACAATATTAAACTAAATTTGAAACAACCTTAATTTTTGGCGTAGAAATCGATTCGATCAAATCTGTAATTTTTATACAGGGTATTACCGAAATCATACCCGTCTCTTTAATTTTAAATGGCATCCAACAATTTTATCTTGCGTTTATTACACTAGATTTGTTTCTAAAATAATTAAAACAGAAATGAAAAGATTGATTGAAAATTAACCAAGTTCTGCTTGTTTAAAATTTTTCGCATAGCATGTCACGATTATTCTTGTTTTTCCAAAACGTATTTCCAAAAAATTCTAGCGTGTTTTACCATTGCGTAATTAACATATTAATTTTTCACGTTAGTTTTTTACATTTATTACTTCATCATAGGAGATGTTTCAAACTACAAACAAAGCGTCGCTCTTGGACTCAGTCCACAGTATTTGCTCCAAAAATCGTAGTTTTTCATTCAACAATAATTTCCTTATTTGCGAGAATAGTAATCTTTTTGTCATAATCAGGTGATCGTATGAACAAGACAACTAAAAATTTTAACCCCGTAAATTTTTAAAACACTCCAAATTGTGGGTCTTTTTTATAGCCCAATACGTTTTCTGCTTTGCGTAAAGAATAATTAGCATACTCTCGTAAATTGAAAGGTCATCTCTTAGAATAATTGCATTCTCAAAATTACATTGCGAAAGTCTGAATGAGATTTTTTTAGAAACAAATCGAGTTTCATAAACTCAAGTTAAAAATATGGGGTGTCATATGAAAATAAAGAGTTAGGTATGATTTTGGTGATATCCTGTATAAAAATTGCACATTTTATTAAGTATTCGATTTCTACGCCGAAAATTAAGAGGGGTCATCGTTTAAAATATTGTTCCAGCTTTCTTGATTTTGAGAAAACGGGATGTGACATTTAACAGCTGTTCGGAAAGTTGGCATCCACGGTCGTGGGTTCGACTCCCACCGTCGCCTCTAAAATTTCATATCACGCTCCCCCATATAAATCAACCAGAACAAGTACCGTCCTATTGCTAATGTGGAAAACCATTTGGCTTTTCGGAATTTCTTGATGAAGTTGAGGTGTCCTTAATGGATGTGAGAATGTGGAATCTTTGATGTATCGGAGGTTTTAATGAAAACTCCATTTCTGGTAAAAACTGCGAAGAACTCTCTTTTTGTACGTTGTTGGCATATTTAAGTATGTGACGGTAAGTCACATACTGCAATTGAAAGATGTATCCAATTCAATCTAAATAGAGGATACAAAAACAAGAATATAGCTATCATGTAAGATAGCCAAGCAGCCATCAAAGCACTAAGCTCAAATACCATTAGTTCAAGGATGGTGCTGAACTGCAAAACATACATATTAGGTATGCAGAATAAAGTCAGCCTCTGCTGGGTCCCAGGACACATGGGAGTAGAAGGCAACGAGAAAGCGGACAACCTTGCAAGGAAAGGGGCTGCACACCGCTGATAGGACCCGAACCCTTCTGTGGCATAGGAATCCATACTATTAACGAATATTTCAGACAGAAGGACAAAAAGAAAATGAGTGAATTTTGGAATTCACTTATTGGACATAGACAATCCAAGAATCTTCTAACCAATTTTGGCAAGAAAGAAATCACAGAATGTGTCAAAGGAAGCAGGAATAGACTGCGAATCCTAATAGGATTCCTGACAGGACACTGTAGATTAAATGGACATTTAAAGAAAATTGTAATAATCCAAGATGGCACATGTAGATTCTGCAAGGAAGCAGAAGGGACACCAACACACTTACTAACAAACTGCGGAGCTACACTAGCCCGCAGGAGGAAGTGTTTTGGGATGTACAATGTGACCATAGAAGAGCTTCAACCACTGAAACCGGGCCTATTAATCAAGTTTCTTGATGAAATAGGACTCACCGATGTGCTTTAGGCAGAGCACGGGGGATACAATAGCTCTTAAAGGGCGCAGTATACTACACCCTGAAATTACATCTACATCTACATCTAAGTCACATACTTATGAAGATAGAAGAGCCAAATATTTTGGAAAGATTGTTTTCTTTGGCGTATTTATAAATGTTTTATTAAAAAATTGTATGTCTCATTATATATCCCCCTTATTTTATAGAATCCCTTCAGTATAAGATATTCTGTAATCTTTAGAATAAATTATTTTAAATAAAAAGGGAATTCAAATATTGGACTCCATCTTCCAATATTTCATCATATTTTCCTTTAGAAGTGTACTTTAATTGTATTGTGTAATTTTATATTAAGAACGAGTTCTGAGGTTCACTCAATATACAGACCGTACAGACTTATCAAAGTCTTATGAAAAGTTTAACTTTATGGACTAATTAAAAAGGCTTGGAGTATACGACCCACTTCTTAGTTGACTACGATCCTCCCTTTTCTCGGAGATCTGCTGTGGTGAAATTTTGTCTATTCGGGTGTTCCCCAGGGTGGACGCTGAAGACAGTACGATCTTTCTTGAACAAATATCACGTTTATGTGACTGCGTCTCGAAAAGGAATCTTCTCAAAAATGGTGCATGAAGTTAATAAGTCATGTTGAAAAAGTCTTGAAATTTTCAAAGAGAAGATCTTCAGTACATTGATTACAGCGTAAAGGGCAAACATGTAGAAGAGGTCTCTTCTTCAGGAAGGTCCTGCTGAATAAACCAGTGCTCTTGATAGCCTTCGTTTCCTTAAGAATCCGAAATTTATCCTAACAACGAACAAAAGAAAAACAAAAAAGATCATTTTTTCCGAGAGAGTGGACCTGAATATCACTCTGTTCTAGATTTACTAAAAGGAACTGCTTGCAAAAATCTCCAATCAACCCGATTAGGTCCAGGTCTCCAACTTTTCTTCGTGGCATCTAACGCAGCGAATCTTTACATCCAACCTATCACCATATCCTATAATTATGACATTGATATTATTAGACGCTCTATTTCTTCCTCTTACATATATGTCTTTGGAAGACACAGGGACTCACGACACTCTTTTTAACACCTTACTCTCCTCAGATAATTTTCAAAAAATAATTCACCCTTAAAAACTGAAATATCAGTACTATAATATACAACATTTATAAATAATAATAAATATTAATAAGAATAAAATATTTATATATCGAAGATTATTACTGCAGATTAGCCAAGATTCAGATCTTAGAGAAGAAACTGACCGGTAAACAACAAGATAATCACAGAGCCGAATTTTCGTTTCTCACAGCACGCAACCAGCTCCCATTTCCCACATATATCCGTGTAAAAAAATTAATTATAAAAAAATTAAAACCCGAAAAAGCAACGTCCTACCCTCCATACAATTCTCATCTTTAAGTCCTGGCCGACAGGTACTTTGGAGTAGACCCATGCTTCTCCTTTGCACAGGGTGGATGCTGGAGTGCCTCAGGGTAGTCCGTCACTGTACTCATATCCTTTCTCATCTCGACACCTTTTCCTAGCATACACTTATGACACTCCCGTTCTATCCTATAACTCGCCGTCATAGTTCACCGAACCATCCAGACACACCAATGTGGACACGCCCAAAAAGGCAAATCAAACTAAACACCACAAAGTTCCAAAATGTAACCTTCACCTTCCATATCACTCTACGTCCAAACTATCATAACCTAAACTTCCCCTCCACTGGATTCCTAGAATTCACTTACACAACTTAAAACCGACGATACTGAAAACAAAATGGACAACTGGAAAACACGGGGTTCAACCATGGTTTTTCATGGCACGTGTCCTCCGGGTGCAGCGCCAGCATTTGTTTTTAATTCTTCTATCAAATAGCAAGACGTCCGTTGAGCTCATTGATAACTCTTCTACTAGGGATAATTTCAACCGAGTTTTCATTTTATATTGTAATATATTTTATGGTTTATTTCAGTGGCGGAATTAGACGGGGTTCCTTCCGATGAGACGTGCACGTCAGCCGGCGACAATTCCAATCCCGGATCTTGTGTCGGAGTGGAGGAAGACCAAGCTAGACTTCGTCTGAAAAGGAAACTTCAAAGAAACAGGACTTCTTTCACAAACGAACAAATAGACAGCCTAGAAAAAGGTGATTATCGTTGAATAAACTTAATATATATTTTGGAACAGTTTCGTAAGAGACTGCACGTGAAAATCCGTAAGATAATAGAAAACAATTAAAATATACCAGCAATAAAGATACGAATAATCCACTCTAATATGATACATTCTTAACAAGGGATTTCCATTGCAGAATTCGAGAGGACGCATTATCCGGATGTCTTCGCTCGCGAGAGGTTGGCGGCGAAGATCAGTTTACCCGAAGCGAGGATTCAAGTAAGTAAATCGTCTGTTCTTCAAGTATAAAATGCTGGCATAAACTGAACATTTTACGATTGTAGGTTTGGTTTTCAAATCGTCGGGCGAAGTGGCGAAGGGAGGAGAAGCTGAGAAACCAAAGGCGAGGAGGAGAGCAAACCGTATCCACAGAAGGACCCGCGTCCCCGGCTCGTCTTTCCAATTACACCCCCAACCCGATGTACCACCCGTCCATCCCGACGCCGATATCAATGAACGATTCATACAGGTCAGTATTTAAAAATATTATTAGTCCGTAGTTTTGCTAACGGAGGATATCTGATTCCAGCTCGATGTCAGGCTTCAGTATGGTGAGCAGCGGAGGCATGAGCCCGACTGGAGGGCCGGCCGCCTGCTTGCAGCAAAGGAGCGAGTATTGCATGGGAAGAAACTACGATCCGATCTCATTACCGTCTTATCCTGGGCATAGGCATTCACCGTGCAGCCCAAGCCAAGCTCCATACCAATCGCAGTATTCAGCAAACACAGTTTCATCCACAGGTAGATTATATCTCTAGACCATACAAATGAAAAGATATTGATGATTTTTTTTTTAAGGACTGATTTCTCCTGGCGTTTCTGTGCCGATCGCCGTCCCTGGCCAAAGTCCCGAGATGGCCTCGCAATACTGGCCTCGTCTTCAGTGACCATGGTGGCCATAAATCAGTTCAGTCAAGTTTTCACGTTTATCGACAAACTAACTCGTTTTGTGTTAGCTGTCGAAAAATCAGAAACCGTCTTCGCTGGTTTTTAATTTTCAAAACGATAACATTGCAGTATGTGAACAATTTATATGTCGTTACAAGTGTATTTGCTCAAACTGATGAACACGTGGAACAAACTGATTTGTTCTCAACAATGCTACGTTTCTTGCTCAGTTCACCCGACACTTAGGCGACTGGTGTTTGTATTATTATCGTTCCATCATATCACAGATGTATTTTCCTGACATTTGAGATGTTACCGTAATAAATAAAAATAATTAAAGATTCGAATCTCATCCGCGTTATACGCAGATTATTGTTTCCAACTTTCAATGCATTGTCGGAATAGGAGATCCCTATACAATTGTCGAGTCAGGAGGCTTTCACCGTACTGATTATGAGTCGAACGGGCGTTTCAAAAAAAGAATTTTCCACATTTTTAAAATAAGTGATTGGAAAATTTCATTCTCGCCAGTTTGAAATTTGTTTTCTGGTCATTAATGTAAAAATAAATAAGGACCTTTCGACAAAGAGTTTATATGTAAAAAAAAAACTGCATCCCAGGTTTAGCCCAATTCAGAGGAAATAATTTTTTTTCTCTTTTATGCAATAAATGTTCTCTTCCATAAATTAGTATCTAGTCTTTATTATTGCAGTTTAAAAGAAACGATTATATTACACAAATGAATAATGCATTCCTAGATAATATTCTCTAATTTTACTAATCTTAAATCATTATTTTACGAATTTAGTTGTTTTAATTGATGTAAAATATTGAAGTAATTGTAAATATTTATGTATTCCGTTACCAAAGTATTTTTTTCTCTAATTTATTGTGAAAATCTGCTTGGAATATAACACTACTTTTTACACGATTCTCCTGTAAAACTGTTGTTATAACAATATAATTAGTTATTTTCGGTAGCCGGTAGTTAGCTACTATCTGTGTATATAAAAACCTTTACATAGGTTACTGATGACATAGACGTTTTTGTGTATCTGTATTAATGTATTCTTGCACTCGACGATATTTTAAATTTGCCAGTTCAAGAAATGTTGCCGACTCCTCTTTTCTGTAATATCGTAATAGGAAAATATAGATTAAGTAAGTTTTTATTTAAAAAAGGCCAATTTTAATGCACAGATTAAATATGGGACTCGGTGAAATTGGAACCCGAAAAGGAAGAAGTTCACCCGGTTCAAACTTCACTAAATAATAAGTGTTTTGATTTTCAAACTGTAATTGAGAAATCAGTTCGGTTTCCTGAGTCATAAGGTTAACCTTACAATTAGTACTGATTATCTATGGGCATGTAAAAAAATAAAACAATTGTAAAGTTATATAAGAAAAAAATCATTGTGAAAATGTATATTGAAATGGGAAAGTAGAGTGGCAAATTATAAATTGTACACGAAATATTTAATTAAACCATATGACCATAAATGTTAATTTCTAATGGCATGTGTAATGAAAAATATGTATATAGATTCATATGTTATTTAAAGCTATGTGTGTATTTATTAATAATAAAATAATGTTCCATGATTCTATGTTTAGTTTATGAATGACATGCTACTTATTTTAAGCACTGGTAAGAATCTCACTACTAATTCGGAAGCTGCCATTCTTAAAAAAAAAAAATCCTTGGTGCACAATCCAAGCAACCGTTAAAGAATTTAGAATTCAGCGCCTCTGGAAAGAAAGCATCTAACAAATGCCATACCAAAATCATCGACAAGGTTAAAATGACGTACATTACTAAAACCTTAACCTCCATATCAGAAAAAATTAGTACTTCGAAAATCCATTCAAAATAATTATCGAAAAAATATCTGATTGAAAATAAAGCAAAAGTAGTTAAATTCACTAATTTCGTGGTCCGCTTGACCAATTGAAAAATGGCAAAAAGGAGGGAAAACTCATAAGGTGGGGTTGAGATAGGAAGTTGGTGTCCGAGTGGATCGAGGTCACGATAGCTCAAGTGGTAGAGCAGCAGCGTATCTTGCCGAAGATCGTGGGTTCGAATCCCGCTCGTGCCATTAACTTTTTTTCATCTCAACTAAAAACCTTAATTAATTGAAAAGTAGTTAAACTTGAAACTTGTTTGTGGTATAAGAACCCAAAGGTGTGATACGGTGGCAGTGCGCAAAGGGGCCTAAATTTTAGCACCTCTCACAACCATCGCAAACCGAACAGCCACGGAAACATGTACATATGAAATAAACAATAAACACCTCAAAAGTGCAACAATAATAATTCTTTCAGACAGCCAGGCCTAAAGGCTCTCCAAGCTTACGAGATCACCTCAAAACTTGTCAGAAACTGCCTAATACCCTAAAAAATTTGGATATTCAAATAGCTAAAGGGGGTCCAAGGTCATGAGGGAATTACAGGCAACGAGGCAGCAGATACACTTGCTAAAAAAGAAGGAATAATAAAGGAACAACTCATAGATCCAAATCCGTATTGTGGCATAAACTACAGTCGCATTAAAAGAGAACTGGAATCTTGGGTAACTAAAGAACACAACTAATACTGGGAGCTAAAACCAAGCATGAGGCAAGCAAAAAGACTACTCGCGAAAGCAACCCAATTTCCCAAGAGAAATCCTTCCCTCTAATATCTAACTTGTCTCGTAGGATATGCTCTAGCTTAAAAAATGGAACTATCAACAGATGACCAATGTCCAGAAGAGAGACGACAGAACAAATCATATGCGATAGCTACGAAAAGGCTATGGCACCTGGGAAGACCGCTCTTGAGCCATGCCGATCAGAGAATAATTAATTCTTTACTTCATTAAAGAAATGCCTATCTTCGGCTTGATTTAAATTAAAGTACTTTTTTGTTAAGGCTTTGTAGGGGAATGACTTGGTATCATCCCGTTTGTGGGTAGAAATCCAAGGTGAAACTGACAAGACCTTTATTGCATCAGCCTGATATGATATATGTTACACTACAGTATTATGTCGTTCTCATGGATTATATTTTTGGTCTCCATAGGACCCGTCAGGCTTTTGCAGCAGGCAAGGAGTTTGGCATCACGTGGCCCTCTGCCCCACCACTGCCATGAACATTTGCACTAAAATAAACAAAAAATAAAATAATTCCTGTCAAACGGGAAGGCTTAACATCCGACTAACCGTTAGGTGTCACGGGCGAGGGGTCAAACCACATTACAATACATTTTTCATACCAATATCGATTAAAAATACATAACTCTGCCTGGCATGGGCATAAAGGAACCTAACTAGAGAGACGACACATGGCCCCACAACAACACGGCCATAGAAACGTGTGTACATTAAATAAATAAGAAACACCTCAAAAGTCCAACAATAACAATTCTTTCAGACAGCCAGGCCTAAATGCTCTTCAAGCCTATAAAATCACCTCAAAACTTCTCTGGAACTGCCTAAATACACTTACAAACTTGGATCTTTAAATAGTCTAACGCCAAAGTCGGACGTAGGTCAACGAGACGGCAGATTGACTTGCTACGAAGCCTCGGAACAACTCAAAGACCAATATCCATTTTGTAGTATAACCTACAGTCACATTAAAAAAGATCATGAAAATTAGGAACACAAACGAAAGAAACACAAAAAATACTGAGAGCGTATGCAAAACAAAACTTCTATGGGAGAAAGAGGAAATCCTTCTCAACAGAAAGGAATTAAAATAACTCTTACTAGCATATTTACAAGACCGTACTCCTTTTATGTATCACCTAAACAAATGGGGCAATCATCCTATGATGTCAGAGACAGGTACTACTGAACATATCTTACTTTGCTTCTGACTTTTGGTGTGATGTAGAACCCCTTGGATAGTTTATAAACTTCGCTTCATACTCACCCTTTTTTAATTTATCCTAGAATCCTATACAACTGACTGCATCATAGTGTGGTGCAATAACGACTAACTCAGGTATCAGACCGATACAGGGCCGCGTCCCACGTGGGAGCATACTTGGCCCCACATAAAGTGTGGGGCTATAAACTGACTTTTCTATTCATCCCAAAACTACCATTACCACCTACGCCGATGACATTGCTGTCTTATAACCCGAACCTCTAACAACCAAGAACAACTTGAACTTATCAAATACTGGTGCCAAAAAAGGAGGTGAAAAGATGTAGTCGCCGAGAAAATACCATATTCCTATAACTCGCTATCTTTATGGATACAAGGAATATCACCCTTTAATTAAGTGGGACACATCAAGCAACCTTTCTCTACATACCGGACAAATACGCGGTCTTTGGTCCATAAGGTTCCGTGTGTCGACTATGTCCAATTCTTAGTCGAATGAGTGTGATCCCTCTCTTGACTCGTAAGAGCTTCTCTGCCGATCTGGCCCTCCAAAACTATCTCTGCCTTTTAATGATTTTTTTATTTCAGTTTTATTTACAAGCGACCGGAGGTTCATTTGTGTGTAATATTCCAAATTGTAGTTTTATTTAAAACAAAATCGCCAAACAGATATTCGTGGTTTAATCGAAATGTGGAATTCCTTTCATGTATAGATTGAGATAATCCGCTCATTTACACTCACTCAGAACAAGAAACTAATTTGATTCTCCTACGGCCGAATAATCAAAATGGGTTTATTCGATAATTAATCCCTTGCCTAATTGGTCTGACCCTTGTAATTTAAAGCAATACAAGTTAGACATTTATGAAATTTACCATGCTTTCATACCGAAACAACACAGGCAAAAACTGCGAGAGCAGGTGGACCAGTTTGATCGCTGACTCTCAAATTTCACCACTTCGCTGCCATACCGTTTCAAAATTTATCATGTAAATACAAAATAATTTTAAAGACTAATTGCGTTAAATGTTTTTAAACAAAATATTCATTGCTCCCTTTCTTATGTATTTATGGCTTCGACAATGTTGATCCACCAAAATAAGGCATCGTAGTTCTGCCCTGTTCATTAGAAGGAGATAAGGTATATATACATATTTTCGCAGACAATTGGTCGCCTAATAGACTTGTGCGCTAGTTAACGAATGTTAACATACAATGAAGATGATTAGCAAGCTTGTTTGTACAAGCCGAATCCAAACAATGAAAGACTAGGGGGAAAGCGTGTGCAGTTACAATTGACACCTCGAGTTCAGTCAGTTGTAACAGAAGAATACTCTCCTAATAGAAATTATTCCTACAAGCTTTGGTTGATATGAAAGAGCGTCGTTTGCTTCTAAAATCTCACATCATGCGCGGCGTCCTGCGACGTCAAGGTTATAAGCAGGGAGAGGCAAGTAGCTGTTACCTTCCATTTTATTTTTATTTATTTTTTTAAAGAGGGTATTTCAACTTCGCGGTTATATGGACCCTCGAGTTGCCGGTTTTTGAAAAAAAATTTGTAAGTATGTCCTGGAATCGAACCCGGGACCTTTACAGGTCCGCTACCCTATACCTTAGAGTGATGAGCGCCGTGTCAACGCCTAAACAGCCACCGACGCCCCATCACATGCTATTTCTACCCACCTAGTAAAATGCAAAAGATGGTAAGGAAAACGTTGTCTTGTAATATTTTTCTATTCACGTTTTCTGGATGAAGAAGTACGAAATTTTTTCTGAACGGATCTACCATTAAGAAGGGTTGGCTTCTTCAAAGTATTCTATGTTTCAGTGGAGATAATTCTTTAAAAAGCTGGGTCACCTTTTGGATTTCAGTGCTCACTTTTGCGGTTTGTGTCTGTCGGTACCTTAATTGCAGATGTGTTTAGTAATTGCGGCTGTAATTTGTTTTGGCTGATAAAAAAGTGAGGAATTTCACTCGTAAAACCCCATGTCAGCTGCCCTACAGCAAGGATATAAGCAGGGAGAGTCAAGACGCTGTCTCTTTTCTATTACAGTAAAATTTGACGCTCAACTTTTTCGAGTTGTAGCAATATAAGAGCAAACATCGACGCGCCTTTTTGTGTGGGCTTCTGGATAATCCTGAAGACCTTATCTTGCAGCAAGTTGCTTGCTCTTCAAGTAATTCATGACCTAATCTAGACTATACTACATTAAACAATTTAAATAAACCGCTGATACTGTTGAACGTACCTCAGGTAATTCCAAATATTTTGTATGTAATGAATGTACTCAATTGAACCTGAAAAAAACAAGAATGTAGCTGTCAGGTCAGATAGCCAGGTCGCCATCAAATACTAAGTTCAATACAATACAATTTATCTAATTATTCATACAATTCACTATCAGATGGTGCTGAAAACTGTATTAAACAGATTAGGTATGCAAAAAGAGAGTGGATATTCTTGCAAGGAAGAGAGTTGCTATAATGCCATTAGGTCCTGTGCTATTCTGTGGTATTCACAATATCATTGATAGTTTTGGACAAAAAAGACAGGTTAAAAATGAAGAAACAGTGGAATTCACTCATTGGACATAAGCAATTCAACAACCTTCTAACTAATTTTGGAAGGAAAGAAACAACAGAATTCATCAAAGAAAGTAGGAAAAACTTAACAGGGCCCTGCAAAGTGAATGGGCATTTAAGAAAGA